AAGTATTTCCTCTCAAAGAGAAAGAGAAATGGAACGTGAAAGAGAGACAAACGATGGAGGTAAGAATTGACAAAGGACAGAAAAGATTTTGAAAATTGTACTTCTTTATTGATTAAATACTGTGTAAGAAGATTTTGAAAAAAGAATCCAACACACATAAATAATATTTTAAACACATGAAAAAATGTCTGAGAAATTCAACCGCAATAATTTAGAAACGAAATTAAAAATAAATGAAAGTTGTACTTCTTTATATTTAACTAAATAATCAGATCGGAACATAAATTCGTAATGTAAAAACATAAGATTTTATATTAGAAAATAATAATTAAAAAATATATAACAACATTATTAAATTATTGCACAAAATGAAATTAAATTTTTAATGTATAGCACAAATATTTTTAAAAAATGCGAAACTAACTTATAAGTTATATATAAAACTAAAATATATTAAATAAATGAATTATTTACTTGATTTTATAAAAGTGTATAAATTAGATATGTAAATGAAACTATTTAAAAATAGTTTACTGTCTTTACCAAAATAATTATAATAAGATAATTACATACACTATTCTCTTTTAAATTAAGTGTTAATTAAACCCAAAATGTATACTTTTGTTGTTTTTGGAAAGTCAACGTGGTGAATAAATTGAATTTGGAAAGAATATTTAATGTGTGTTTAGTTTTTCATTGGTTAAAAGTTAATTTATCAAAAGTTTATTTAATAAAATTTAATTAAATAAAAGTTAATTTTTGTAATAAAATTTATATTTAGGTAATTTTTGTAAAGTTAATTTAGTAAACTAACAACTATTTAAATTATATATAGTGAAATGTACTTTTAAATGTACCATTGCTAAAAATAGATATTAATTTATAATTATTTGTAATTTTTATTAATCAAATGTAATATATTAGAAATATTTAAAAATGTAATAAAAATTTTAAATTAAAAATTATATATAATATAAAATTTTTTATTTTGAATAATATATATAATAAAAAGTGTACTCCCTTCGTTATAAAATGTAAGGTATTTTTAAAGTAGTTGGACGTTAAAAAATATAAAGCATTTTTAGTCTTTTAAGATGTAATTATTTTCTTTTTTTTAAAAGTGTCCCTATTGATAATGATTTTATATTTATTATAGGGTATTTTATAAAGATAAATATAAAAAGATATGATTAATTTGAAAATAGGTAACTATATCTTATATTTTTAAATGGAGGGAATATAAAATAATATAAAATTTAAAAAGTTGGGAAAGAATTTATAATAAAAGAATGATAAATAATAGAAACATTTGTTAAAGAAATGAGGATATGGCATCGGCTTTAAAGTTAAAAAGATGTCTAATTTTGTGAGCTAGTAGAGCAAAAGTCCATTTGATCAAAGTTAAAAACACATGGGTTACATTGGCTAAATGAACTTTCAAAGATGTTTCAAATGTAATTCAAATGTGCTTCTGATTTGATAATATTTTATCTAAACAATATTCTACATTTGAGAAATGCTTTAAAGTGGAAAAGCACTTCCCAAATGTGAGAAGTTACAAAACCAAACAGGCCCTACCGATGTTATATGGTGTAGTGATAAAATAAGTAGAAGTGAATTGTGAAGTTATACATAGGGGCAGAACTAGCTTGAGATTTCAAGGTGATCAAAGTTAGGTTGCATAATTCTAAACAAATGACAATACATTTGCATATGCATTTCATCTATATTTTTTATAAAGCAATTCTAACTTGTTTTGTTAAAATTAAAAAAAAAACTTAAAAATTATAACCTCTCCCTAAATATTTAATAAGTTTTTCAACTTTGCTCTTATTTAATAGACAAACTTTATTATTGAGTTTTCTCTTACCAACATTTACTCTTCGTTTGGATTAAAGGAAAAGGCTAGGCAGAAAAGTAAAAGGAGACAAAATCAAAAAATTCCTAAAATAGTAAAAAAAATTACAATTTTTGAAAGTTTTTTCTTTTAGTTTTGCCCATCCCTATTTTCTTTCCACATTTTCCTTCATCTTAATGGGGTAAAAGATGATATGCCTATAAATGAGATTAAAGAAAAATCATTTTATCTACCTTATAAATAGAACCAGATAAAATATAACTTAAATCTTGATAGCTTTTTTTTTTAATCTCAACTTGCTCTCTCTCTCTCTCTCTCTCTCTCTCTCTCTCTCTCTCTCTCTCTCTCTCTCTCTATCATATCTCTGTTGATACTAGCTATTTATATACTCTTCTTCCTCCCTCTCAACATGCTTGAGTCTGGATTTGGCTTAAACAACCTCTTTTTAGAATTGACTTCCTCCTCTCAAAGCACTGCAAAACGTGCCAAATTCACAACAATTATTACTAATAAATCTTGCCCAAAAACACCTAAAAAGCCCCTTCAACTAAACCTAAAAACCTTTCTAAATGGAGCCATAATTGAGAGACATGCTATAAATATGGGACCTATATCTCTTCAACAAAAAAAAATAGAAGAAAGTAGCCCCCTCCACCCTCCACACATGACCTAGTTCTGTCCCTGCTGTTTGTGGCAATGATTAAAAAAATGGAATGAACTTGGCTGATCAAATCGTTGATCGATTAGGTTAATAGCTTAGTTAAGTTAAAAATTTTGGGAAGTTGGATTGAATTGAGCCATTTTGGATTGACAATCAAACCGAAAACTAAGATCAAGGTAAAAACTAAATTGTTCAAAAAAAAATACCCTTTTTCTTTTTTGTTGTTATTTTTTATCATTTTTTTAAAAAAATAACTAATTTTTTTAATCATTTGATGTTATGTTATATTATTTAAATTGTTAAGTTATGATAAACTTAAAATATCTAGTCTTATTTTTAAGTTAAGTAGCAATTTTATATTTATATTATATATATATATAATTTTTTTAATTTGATTATTTGGTCGTCGATTAGACTATTAATCCAATCTGGCTGGATCATGCAAACTGTAATCACTAATTTTTTTTAGTTCAATATTCGATTTAATTTTGAAAACATTGGCTGGGGGACAACTTTCTTTCTAGTTTTTACGTTTCTAACTGTGTTAGCAACAGTAATAATATTAAGCCACATAACTGGGCTTTCGAATAATCTTCTTCTTGAGGTGTAGGTCCATAGTCTTTTGGGCCTCGTCAAAATGGGCCTATTAGTTATTGCAGCTATTTTGGGAATGACAAATTAAAGGATGCAACACTCATAGCCAGCACACACGCAAGCTCACACTCACGTATATATAGTCGGTAATGGAAAAATTAATTCAGAGTAATTATAATTTCAGCTAACCTTGGTCTTTGGAATCTCAAAAATGTTTTTTAATGTCATTTACCCAATTATATTTTTAATAATTATTAACACTCGTATTAATCTATTAGACCTGCATTGATTTTGCCCCTAACTGAATATTTTTGATTCCGTGACTCCATTTAAATATGCAGGTGTAAGATTTAATGAATAAGCATGTAACGGTCATGCCATGTAAACCTAAATAATTGCATATTACTCAAAAAAGCTAACATAAGCCCAATCCCACAAAAAGAAGAAGAAAACACGCGCATACATACTTATGAAGTGATAACCAACGAGAGTTGAGTCTAATAAAAAAAATTAATCCTTCACAATGTGACAAATTAATATTTAAATTTTTAATGAAAGAGGCATCTACATTTAGTGTTGTACCATGATAGGGTTGTTTTCAATAAAAGGATTCTTGTAAGCAATAAAAGAAAAGAAAAATTAAATAAAGGAGACGATTGTGTAATTTAATTGCTATCCGAAGGAAAGTTTGTGTGAGTTTAATTTGGAGGCAATAATAACATATGTATATCTTCAATTCAGTGGAAAGAATATTTTGAATGAAAAAGAAATCTAGGCAAACATACCATATTCTTCATATATTATTAACCATGACAAAAAAAAGAACAGCATTAGGTTGAATGAACAAACCCACAGAAACAAACTTGTTTCCTTACATGGAAGGTTAATGAAAAGTTCCTATCAAAAACATGGAAAGCTCAAGCGACTTGACACATAGATTGGAGAGCAAGTGAAGATAACCATGAGTTAGGTAAAGGAATAAATTCGAATATCAAATGGTTGGTATTGATCCACTTTTTGGCAATTTACATGTATCTCGCTGTGTGTAGAGCCCTCTGAGATTGCGTTTTCTTCTTTTAATACGAAATCCTCTCTTTCTTTATACATATCAGCATGGATAAGCATCGCTTGGCTCTGTTCTTTCAAAGAATCTTTCTTATGAATACTTTCTCTCTCTATCTGGGACCACACCCCTTATATTTTAGTTTATCTGCCATGTGATTTCTATTCCTGCATGATATTCTATTCTCCGCATTAATACCATTCCAAGTCTCAGAATATTTCCAAAAGATTTTGGAATCTGAATTGGTGATTTTAATTTATGATGGAGAGAACCTGATAGAGAAAGTGAAGAAGATGATAATGATGAGAGAGGTTCCATCGTTTTCACCCAACGTTCTATATACCATAATTAAAACGCGGGATATCGCAGTGGGCTCCGTCCTTATATCTTGTCTGCAAGATTCTCCTCTATTATTTTGCATCTGAAAGTGACTCTTTTGTCTTCAACCCAGATAAACAAGAAGGATTGAGGGTTGATTATTGTTCTTGTTTTTTTTAGGGGGGGGAAGCGGGATGCGGCCAAGGTTAGGTAAAAGGGTAAAAGCTAGGAGATTTGTCCTCTTGACTTATTAAACTTTTAGAGCAGGCTCAAAGCTGTCTGGTTAAGTTGATTGGTTGACTGGAAAAGTTTGATGGGCTTCGCTTTTTGAATCATCAGTCTTACTTTTGGTGTTAAGTCGGGATTATGTTCTTTTAGCTTGTAATTCCACCGAAATGCTACATAGTGCAATGTTTGGAGGAGCCTGTAGAATGAAGATAAAATGGTTTTCAGGTGGATGATCCTTTCTAATTAAAGACAGACCACTATTGAACGGGTATCTTAGAGACAAGATAAAGACTAGATATAATTTCAAGGAAGAGAATATCACAGTGCAAATCTTCCACAACAGTCACCAAATCTGAAGATTTGAAAAGAAAATCCTGCAAATCTAGCCAACGAGTGCCAAACAAATTATGAATCTGCATTCAAGAGCGCAACCTCGTTTCCTTGAAATTAATGAAACATCCATAGTTCCAAAAATTGGGCGACTTACTGAGCATCTGATCTAAAACAGTGGACCAAGAAATGAAAGAACTTGATGATACATGGGGAAAATGGCATGAAGGAATTTTATTTTGGAGTTCTCATGATAAAACTCAAGTTGGATAAATAGAAGGAAAGCTAGTCCTGCAAAAATTTCAATAGCCTCTATCCGTAGATCCTTTTTTCTTTATAAGTATGATGTATTATACTTATGTAGTTGTAAAACTCCTCCCACGTATATTTTTATCTGCAAAATCCATGGTGGAGAGTATCTATACATCTTTTCGAGGTTTGTGAATATGACTTTTCCAGCTAAAGCTCTCAGATTTTTCCTCTTCATCATCTTCCATGCTGTCGCCTTCAGTTCGAGACATCCCTCCACCAGATCCTGCTAACTGGAGGGGACCTTGAGGAGAACCAGACCCTGAACTGCTAGCCTTGGAGGATTCATTGTGTTGATCTTGGGACATCCACAAACCTCCAAGAACTACAGATTGATTAGCAGGCGCAGCCGTGGTAGCTGGTGTTCTTCGAGTGTGAAGTCGATATTTCTGCAAAAACGAGTAACCATATCATGTCTCCACATCAAACTTCAATAGACTTGTAAATCTTAGAATACAAACTTTATCAGACATGCCAAACCAAGAATTGCTAATATATCATCAATTCCTGGAAACCAAACAAGCAACAAGGAGAACTAGAACACCATTAACTCACTTGTAAATGACTCTTCACTTCATCATTGGTCAGGCTATCAACCTGCATGAGTTCTCTTATTTGTTTAGGGGTTGCCGCTGCATTAAAGAAACCCAGAGATGTTAATTAAATACAAGGAACTAAAACAAAAAGTACTAACAGCTGTCGAATTTGTGTTTTGAAATTTCAGATTGGGAGATGATTTGCAATATAAAATGTTTACCATCTGCCTTTCACTCTTTGGCCTATCCCTAAAGCTATCCAAGTCACAGTATAGAACATTCAGAATCCAGCATCCACACAATTTCAATACTAGTAAGCACATTTATCTTCATTCACTCATTCAGTAAACGATAATGTCCCACCATTAGAAACTAAGAATACTATGAAACCCTATACTGAACAAGATATTCGATGGTTTCAATTCAACATAGTGAAACCTTGATCCTTTCCCTTGCTATAGCAGAATACTAACAGAATAATAGAAATTTTTGTGAAGTTTCAATTTCTAACCTAGAGAACCTCCAAGTTGCTGTAATGCATTGACAAATCGTCGGTGCAATTCAGGCGACCAGCACCTCCTCTGTTTCCGGGCAACTTGCTTCTGTGGCTGCAGATGACCTGTGGGTATAATTGGCTGTGAACTGGGAGTAGAGGAGGAAACTGCTCTGCTAGAGCTACTTCCTGATCCACTTGAACCAGAACCTTCCTTCAAATTTTTGGTACCAGGAGTCAGAAGAGAAAGCCCATTAATGGAGTCTTCCTTCTCTTCCCTAGTTGCCACTGGCGTCGCAGGGTTGCTAGGGTAGGCTGAAAAGGGAAAGAACGCTCTGCATCCATTATCGCCGTTTCTACCAGATTGGAATGGGACCTCAGGAACAGATTGCCCTTCCTCTTCGCATTTCTGCTATGATCAAGGAGAAAACAAAACAACCTCACTGAGATGATTCTAATATTCGAACTAATGACAATACTAAATTTAATATCCAAGGAATTCTTCCTTAAATTATTTTACCTTGTTTTCTAATTCATAGTGTTGCCTTTGCTCATAAGCATGGTTAGTAGCGGGATGAATACTGGTATTCCAAAGCTGAACAGAACTCATCCAATTCTTCTTATCTCTGCATCCGTTTTCTTTCTTATTATCCTTTTTCTGATCACATTCTCTTGTCAAGGGAATAAATTCCTCCAGCACTGGCCGAGAAGTAGGCATCCTGAGTTTTGCTGATTCCTCCTTCAGAGTCAAGATTGCTGCAGAGACATACATGAAAACGATACATAAGCTTGGATCATCATAACAAGGGAACCAAGTAATAGAACCACCGGAAACAGAACAACCATCAAACAGCCAGAGATCAATCCAAAGAGAATCAAATTCAGAGGTGAAAGAGAAAATCAGGACCAACCATCGTTTAGGAGGAGCATGCAGAGAGGAAGCTCTCGCTTAAAAGCGTCGATCTTCTTCATTTCCTCCTCCAATCTCTTGAGAAACTCATCGAACCTCGACAACTTGTCAGCAGCGTTGCCGATCGAGGAAACCTCATAGAGGAAATCACTGATCGTCTTGGGAACAAAAGTGGGTCTCAAATCCAAGCTCAGTTCTGGAGGAACCGAACCCATTTTCAGATCCTTCCCACCCAAGTTCAGATCTCCTAACGGTAAGCTTAGCAGCTGGAGATTCTATGGGGAAAATGAAGCGAAAATGCAAAGGACAGAAAGCGAACAGTGAAGAGATGCAATAAAATAACGAATATATAGGTAGAGGAATAAATGGTATGGTAGAACCATAAATTAATTGATGAGAACGCGATCGGAGGATAAATAGACTTATGTGAAAAGAAAGAAGATGGAAAAGAGGGAACGAAAAAGAAAAAGTGAAATTGTAAGAGGGATTGGAAAAGAAATATCGAATTTTCAAACACGGAGATTCTGCAGAAGAAAGAGGATCAGGGTAGTGGCGGTGGTAGTGAGAAGAGCATTGCCCAGCTAAGACGGGTGTTTTGAGAAAGTCACTTTCGCGTCGTCGCGTATTTAATCTATCATGTGACGCCCGCCAACCGGTTTGTCTTGGACCGGACTGACTCAGTGAAATGTCCCGGGACTCCCATCCCTCCTTCCCCAAAATAACATCTCTTTGACACGTGTACTCCAATTTTAAGGGTTGCTGAAATTATCTACCTCTTGTCCCCTTATGCAAGTATTCTTCTCTTAGATTTGATCAGCACTTTATCGTCCCTCAAAACATACGCCCTCCGTTTTTATTTATAGAAAAACTCAAAAAACTAACATTTTTAATTTATTTTATATAAATAAAATTATACTTTTAATATGTATTTATTGTAAACTTTTTAAATTAGCCCTCATAATTTTATCATTTATAATCATAAAAAATAATTAATAAAAATTTGATTAACAAGATTAATAAAGGTATTGTAGTTTAATTCTTTTATTTGTAGACACGACTAATATAATTAACTATTTTTTTAAATTGTGTAATGTAATTTTTTTCTCTTACAAATAAAAATAGAAGAAGTAAGTTCTAATATTAAAAATTATAATTTAAGATTTGAGTTCAGTTGAGTGAAAGAAATTAATCCTTATAATATAATAAATTAATATTTGAATATGTACTAAAAGATATATTAAAACATCCAGTTGTGCTTTGAATAAGTGAGGATATTTGGAAGCAATAAAAAATATCAAAAACTATACAAATTTAGGAGGTACTAAATTTTTTTTTTACCCCTTCATTAAATGTTACAATATTTTAAAATCTCAAGTGCCTAGAAACAATTATCAGTTATAATTAGAATTAGAGTGGGTATTTCTGGAAACAAATATTAATAATACTTAGACTTTTGTATTGGGACTTGATATTTAGGGACTGAAGGAAGGTGAAAATTAGAACTTATATTTAGGCATCCAGGAAATACTCTTCAAGATATAATGTTGTTGTTTTTTTTTTTATAAAAAAAACTTGCCATTTAATTTGTTATAACTTAATTTTTTTTAGATTTTATTTAGGTCTATTTTTTACTTTTCTTTTTCAATAATTTAAATAGAATACTCTTCCTTATGACTTTGTTGTGTTCAAGTTTCTAGTTCCCGAAATTAAAGATCAATTTACAGGTCAAAAAATTAAAGATAAATTAATAAAAAGACATTATATCTTAATTTCTGGTAATTGAAATACATACGGGTGGTGAATTAATGTGTAAAGATACTTATACAACGATAATGTGTGCAAGTTTATACTATTAGAATATTATATTTTAAATGACAATTATTCTTGGTTAATCTTGATCCATTGCCAGTGCTTTTTAAAATGTCATAGCCATGTGCTGCTGATGGAAAGAGTTCCAAATCTAACCCAACGTACTTTTTTTCGTTCTTTATTATTTTATTTTTTTACCAAAGTTCTTTATTATTTTATGAAAACGTGTTTTACTTGCCATATACACAAGCCATGGTGTTTAACCAATAAAATAGTTACCACTTACCCCTCAGCCTGAAAAAAAAAAAAAAAAATTGGGATGGACCGATTAATTTACTTGTCTTAAAATCAGAGCATGGTTTGTTGACTGAAGTTTGAACAACCTCTTATATTTGAATACGTTACGTACTTCATGCTATACACTAGTGCGACAGCGTGACAGTCAAGGAAGAGTAGAGTCGAATAATAATAACTTTTACAAACTACATTCTTTCTAATTTTATTTATAAATTATTTTTATCAATTTGATTAATATTAATATAATAAAAATATAAAAAATAAAAATTAATAAAATTTTAAATATAATTATTATTAATTTAATGACTTATGAACCAAACCATTTCATCAGAAAGTTAATAAAGTGGACCTGAATAAAGAAAAGAAAGAGGGGTGTGGTTTTCGAAAAGTAGGTTAGGAGGCCACCGAGGTGGAACCATGTTACCAGAGAGGCAGAGATTCCCAAACGCGTTGTAAATGAACACTCCGTCCGTTCATGGTATTTTTAACTGACATTCGTCTCTAATAAAATAATTATTTATTTTTTAATTTAATATTATTTTTTATATTTATTTTTATTTAATATGATATTTTATTTTAAGATAAATATAAAATGATTGATTTATTATAGACACAAGAACATAATAATTACCCTTTAAAATATTAAAAATATTTTATATTTGTTAATACTAATATTTTAAAAAATACTTTGTATTTTTTTAAAGATGATGTATCATTTATTTTTTTTTAAAATATCATTTGACCTCCTTGTATTTTAATCATGTTTTGTTTTTAATCTTTATAATTCATTTTTATGATTTTTATCCCTTTCGTTTGATCTGTTTAGAAAATTAGTTTCTTTATTTTGAAAAATATTCAAAAGGACCCTGAGTTAGTTCAAACAACATTAATTTTGCTAAGGTTCAATGCCCTTTTGCTTATATGATGCCCCTCCTGATTTTTTTAAATAAAACCAAACTTGTAATTAGATAAATGTATAATTTTTTTTATGTTGGCATATTTTTTTCAATCATCTAGTGTGTTTGATCATCTTAAGTCCATATCGACAGAATTAACATTGTTTTGGTTATCTCATGGTCCTTCTAAGTGTTTTTAAAATATAAGGACTAACATTTTACATGAAACAAACGAAAAGGAATGGAAAATCATGAAAATAAACAATAAACACTATAAACAAAACATGATTACAATTTAAAAATAGAAGGACTTGAATTGATATTTTTCTAGTTTTTTTTTCATAAAAAATCAGGTAAATGAAAGACAAATAATCTTATAATTTTAGAAGTACTTATAAAAATATATTTTCAAATTATTGTGACAGACAAGATGTTTGTTTTCAAAACACGCACTCTGTTAGGATGCTATAAACTAGCTCTTCATTAATTCATTTAGACGAATTGACAAGTTTCAATGCAAACATTTTTTCTCCAAAAGATATGAATATAAGTAAGAAAAGTAAATGGAGATGGCTGCTTTTTTTCAAGGATTAGGATTATATGCGCTTTCAAAGAACGAAAGCCTCTTCCTATTTCAACATTTGACGCTTTTTTAAATCTTGTGTGTATCCAACCAACTTTCCTCCCCTCATATCTCACCACTATACATACATACACACATACATATATATATATATATATATATCTCATAATCTTTATCTCCATAATAGCCAAATGGAGATCACCAAATTCAACGTCCATCGGTCAAATTAAAATCACACACATATAATCCTAAATTCCTAATATAGGTCAACTTCAGTACAATTACATACTTCATCTAGGTTCTAAAATTAATAAGATTTTTTTTTTATCACACGATATCCCAAAAAACCTAAGACATTAGCATCATCCATCTGGATTAATCTAAACCCTCACTTTATGTAATTATTATTACTAACTGTAGTCTTATGAATATTTCAATTATGCAGGTGGCATATTTATTTAACTTAAAGATATATTTTAATATTTAAATTTAAGATTTTAAGATGAGTTACTTCAATTTCCAAAACTAGTTGAATCAAATACTCCCATGGTAGAGTCTACTTTTTTTTCTCTCATAATTTTCAATTTGCTTTCTATGTAAAATCCTCGTATAAAAAAATGTCAACATATTTTGCTCAAAAAAAAAATGTCAACATATCTACAAAAACTACTCCACAAAATACCTCGAATTTTATAATATATTTTTGTTCCAAGTAACGTTTGGCGGTTTGGGGTTGTCAAAGTGGGAGTTGTACTGCTGAAAAGATATAATGAAGTGGGACCCTTTGGATATTTGGTCACGTCTCTAAACTCACCGTCACGGAGATGGAAAAAAAAAATTTGTGCACAAATATTTTTAGTTAGTATGCAATATTGCGGTAATATATAACTATAATCTCATTAATTATTAATACTCAAAATATATTGTGTTAAAAAAAATTATAATAAGAAGAAGAAGAAAAATACAATTATCAGTTTTCATAATTTTATTGCATTTTATTTTTAATTCCTGTAATTTTCTTCAGTATATTCAATTCTCATAATTGCAGCATGATTGGATAATATTTATTACTCAAGTTTCTATAATTTCAGTTTTTTTAGTTTATATAAAAAAATAAAAACATTGAAAAAAAATTACATTAATTAGAAACAAATTTTTATAAAATTATAGGCATTAACAATTACTCATTCTATTAAAAAATATAAGATATTTTTTAATGACTTAAATGTTAAAAATTATAAAATATTTTTAATCTTTTAAGATATAATTATTATATTTTTTTAAAATGTCCCTATTGATGAATAACTTTATATTTATTATAGAGTATTTAATAAAAATAAATATAAAAAGATGAAATTAATTTGAAGATAGTAATTATTTCATTAAAAGGTAAAATTTAATTAAAAATATTTTATATTTTAAAAAAAAGGGATTATGAATTTTCTAATAAGAGTGCAACAAATCCCATCTCAAATCTACTTCTCAAACACCGAGGGAGAACCGAGAACATAATAAAAGATGCTTTTTTAATTTTTTATTATTATTTTACTAACCCAAAAAGACAAGCCTTAACAACCGTTAGATTCCTTGCATTTTCGTCCGTATAGAATTAAGATTCTCTACGCGCCTGGCGCCTGCGGTTCGGGGTCCTGTTCACCGAATCATCTTTTGCATTATTATTTTATCATTAAATAATAAATATTCATCTTATTATTCTTATGTTCGCTGGCGTTGTGCATTTTTATTTTTATTATTTCTTATCTAAAACCTGTTATTTCAATTGGATCGCCCCCATTTCCCGCGTCTGTATTGCCTTTGTCGGATGCTTCCATTGGAAGAAATAAGAATCCGCACCTTTCTGACTATAAATGAATAAATAATAAAAAAATCCGTCAAGAGAAATTCAATACCTCTCACTTCAGTTTCTCAAAATGCCCACCTTTACTTGCTTTATTCACTAACGGTACCATATTCCTACATCGTCCATGAAATTCACAATTTTCTAAGCAAATATTATAAGGTA